ATAGTTTCTGACGTACATATTTGACTTGAGAACAAACATCCGTGGATTCTGCCACACTTAAATAAAAAATGGATGATGTGAGTCTAAGTGACTGAGTAATGTTATTGAAATGTTTTCACTATTATTGTCACAGTAATGGCTACCATCTGAATCATGTCACAGTGTTATTTGTCAGTTTGTTCTGACAGCAAGTTATTTTGAATTTCATGCCATTTGAATCGAAACACCTTCCAGTTGAACTGAGATGGCCGAGAAAGGGGTGGAAGGGGGGATGGAGATGAAGAGAAAGATGGGAAGGAAACAGGTGGCCAAAAAGAGGGAGAGTGAGAAGTAGGGGAAGACATGTGGGGGGGGCTGAGGGAAGACAGAAAGAGATGGAAAAAAGGGAAGAGATGGGGAAGGAGGAACCTAAAACTGACAAACAGGATGATCAGCAAGGGGACCGGACAAGGTTGAGAATTTTAGGAAGATGAAAGGCAGCGGGTGAAGAAGAGGAAAGGAGGTAGAGGAGCAGAGGACAGGAAAGGGTAGAAGAGAGGTAAGGAGGCACACCTGAGCGTTCAGAGGCCTCTGTCCCGGTAAGAATGGTCCTGAATTATTCATAACGGCTCACCTCGCCTTGCTGTGCCGACTGCAGCACACAGCTCACTGCAGAGAATAAAACAAAAGAAAAAAAAGCATTTTGACTAGAAAAGAAACTGCAAACAGTGCAGCTGTGCTCAGTGTTTTGAGTCAAGTCTAATTGCAGTTTTTCAGTAAGATGAAGGCTGCGATTTGACTGATGGTTGCAGCTGGATACAGTCAAACTAAATGAACAGTGTTCTCACACCCACTACTGTTAGCCTATATTCTTAGTTCTCATTTTGTTCCCACAAAGGACTTCTCCCTAACTTTAATTTCATTGGAAAGAATCTGAAAAACATTAAGATGATAAAAGAAAATGTTATAAGAGTTAGAACTAAAGTCTTTGTGTTTCACTGTCACGCCTGTGGTGGCTGGAGGTTGACTGAGACAAACTGTGAACAATCACCCCCCTCATTCACTCATTCAATACTCCTGATAAATCAGACACTTAGTTTAGTGGTTTAACCTGTGACAGTCTGGAGACCCGAGAGAGAAAGCTCTGTTTGCACCCAGTATGTGTGTAGCTTCTACCTGAATCTCTGTGGTTTCAAATTTTGTTTCAGTTTGTACTTTCAGATATCAGCCTTACGTTACTGTTTACTTCCAGCTGTGTTAAGTTACTACTAATGCAAACCTTTCCTGCTGTTGTTGCTTCACATTAAACACTTTCCACCACCAAACAAGCAAGATGCTTTCATTATGAAGAACTTATAAGAAATGCAATGTGCAAGTTAACGGAGCCTCATTCTTGAGTAAATCAAGTTTAATCAATCGATTTGTGCATAATCTGTGGTATTTGGTCAGCAGATACGTTTTAAATATTACAGGAGGAATAGTATAAACAGAAACAGCCACAGTGAGCTGAAAAAGGCTGCAGGCAAGAGGCGCTTACTGTGGTTTGTGACCAACACATCAAGGAAGACAACTTTGCCTTGCTGTATGGTGCATTGGAATAAACACTCACATCGTGCCAGCATTGTTCAACTGCTTGTGGCCATTCACGGGATGGCGCAGCATGACTACTTCCCTACTATGTAAAAGCCTTATATGTCTCTTTGTCCATAGTGCTAGCCAAATCTCTATAATGTGTCTCTCTCTATATAATACTGTCACACCCAGTCTGTCTTTGTATGTCTCTCCATGGTGCTAAAACAGTCAAGCCAAGTCTCTTTATGGCTCTCTCCATGGCCTTAAAACAGTCAAACTAAGGCTGTGTCCAAAATCACTGCCCTGTTCACTGATTCACTAGTCCTTATTTAAACAACACTCAGTAGTTTACTCTACAGTGAGCAGTAAATTTGCACCGTGGCCACCTATGAATCATCATCAGGTGTAGTGTTGCAGGAATGATAATTTGACATATAAATAAAAAAGTATGCATTGTGGGATTATAAGACCAAAGTACTTTTTGAGGACACTATATAGTGCAGGAATTTCACTCTCACTCATAAAATGCAATGTCTCTATCCATGGTGCTGAAACAGTCAGACCTGGCTCTCTTTGTGTCTGTCTTTGTGGTGCTGAGGCAGTTGAACTAAGTCTCTCAGTCTTCTTTATTTCTTTCTTTGTTTAAATTTCAAATGCACTCACACACTCTTCACCTAAGTGTCTCTCACTAATGCTCTTTATAGCTACTAGTACTGTACAAGCACTGTTTCTGAAATCAAGTTTGTGTCAGCATTTATGCAGTTACTGAAGGAGTTATTGAGTATGTTGCAGTAATAAGGATGGATGGAGAAATGGAAAAACAAGTCGAGAATTCCCAGTTTCCACCATTTCTCAGAAATGTATTAAACTCCTTATAAGCAGTGTTATCCTAAATGGATTTTGGTTTCTGGCCGTCACATTTTTCACAGTAATTTTTCTTAGATTTCCTTATTTTCCTCATCCTACCGTGCATTCACAGTTATTTGCAGTTCTCTGCAGGACCTCCACAATGGAACCCATTTGGTTAGAAGATTGCTGTTAAAAGTGAAATAACCTGAATATCTCCCTTAATACAGTCTTATTATTCTGTTGTAAAACTAGCAGTGCTGTCAGTTATTTCTTTCTGAAATAGAACCAATTTAGGAAAGTATTTTGAGTGTCCACATGAATGAAGTTATTTTCTTTGTAAGTGTGTAGTTCAACTTATTTTCACAGAGAAAAAAAGTGTGTGAAATGGAGAGGCAGATATTCGAACTGGAGCACAACATTACTTTTCAACTATTATGCCTCCTCGGCAATTATCCAGACCAAGATATGAACTAGCCAGCAGGTACATGAATATGTGGGTTTCTTTGATAGAAATCAATATATATGTAAGGACCTGTATTTAAGAATATTCTTTTGGGGATCTCCAAGAAGGCGAAATATACATCTCAGCTGATTTTTGCCATCAAAGTTTCGGAAATTGAGTTTAAATCATGTTTGCCGGCCTTCTCTGTCGGGCGCACAGATTTCCACCTGGGGATAATTCACAATCGCAACACGTCCAGGACTGAGCCCCCCGTTGCCACAACAGTGCTAGAATGTTAATATGTTTTACACAGTGGGGGGAAGGATTACATGGAGGAGGCTTGAAAACCGTCCTCAGTAGCTTTGGGATTTCAAGGGGTCTTGATCTCCATTTGCTCGTCAGAACCTGAGGGATCAAAAGACGGCGGGGAAACAAAAAAGTCTTTGCAGGAGAAGATCACATGGGCAGATAACTGGCTTTTTTCTCTGTCTCTCTTACTCTTCTATCGCTCTGACGTCTCTTATCTTTGAAACAATCCAGCGGGTGATTTCATATAATATATATAATGACTGGATGGAAAGTGAAGGGTCAGTCTTGCTGGTCATGTTTGAATCAAAGCAGCCCCTGAGCCAGTCTCCTCTCGCCGAATCTCTTCTTATCATCACTGGTTAATATCCTTTGGTCTGTTGCTGCTCTGGTATACAGACTGAGACGATGCATCTGGAACACTGCTGCAATACTTTTGACTGACAAGATTCTGCACTGCATTCTTTTGTTTTTATAAGATTTGGTGAGAAAAGGGCAACAACAATGAATACAGCAAAAGATAATACCTTGACTGTATGTGGCGAGGTAAAGGGAAACATGTCTAATTTACTTTTTGCTTCTGATGTAGCATTTCATTCAGTGACCAATGACTTGTCACAAATGCACTTTTTTAGTCCCTGGGTTGCTGCTACACCAATTTGTTTACTCAGTTTTATGAAATAATATTCTATGCCTGCTGCCACCTAAAAATACTTTACTTAATTTACAGCATGCATAAGCATTTGGTCTTTTGCCTTGTTTAAATGAGCTTGGCTTCCAGAGAGAGAAACTAAATTTATCCTTCAGGCCCCTGTCTGAACAAGTAAACAAGACTAAAACAAAATACAGTGTTTGCTCTGAATTAGTGAAGGGGGCAATTTTTATTCAGGCTAAGGCGAATTTCTTGTTGACGTTATAAGTAATTGTTTAAATGTTTTTTTTTTTACCATAATGGGTCAGTCAGTCAGGTGAAAGAACTTATTGTACACATCACATCCTCCTGAGTTTGCACTTTAATACACAGTGCATTGTTCAATTCATAAATTGTCATATATTTGATAATACGAAAATAATATTTATTAGTATAGTATTTTTGCCAATAGATCCATTTGTAATACTATTGCTAAAGTCAAGTATCAACAATATTAAAAGAGATTAAGGCCACTGATCAACTAGGGAGACAGTTTAACCAGTCTAATATGGTTTGTGTACAGTGTTCAGAGTTTGTACCTGATAATCCGTGAGTGTGATACAAAATAACAGCTTTCCTCACAGCATCAGTCGGGTGTGATAGTAAGTTTAATTTTTCCCCACACAGCTATTTTGTCACATAGATAAAAAAAAAGGTGCTTGTGATCAAACTGCAGGTGTCAGAAAATTAAAATGGCAGGTGTTGAATACAGCCAGCAATTCATGTTCATGGCTGTGCACCATATTAGCAGAAAATACATGACTAGAATACTATGACTATGAGTCATCCTTGATGTTGATGACAATAGCAAAAGCATTTAAAAAAAAGAAAGAGAAAACCTAAATAAAATTAGATAACCCTGTACCTTGTTGTATGCCTGTTTAATTGGTCAGTTCTTGCCCTTGGAAAAATACATATTTGATACAATCAAGGCTCATACTGACTGGTGGTTTGGGGATCATGCAGTATGTTTGGTGTTGTGACAATGACCATGTTCTGGCGCAATGCAGAAGGATGAAGAAATAGCGTGTTCTTGTTTTAATGGCTGAATCAGAAGTTTGACAGCACACAGTGCATGGAAGTCATGGCTGATATATACTTGCTCTAAAAATGGGAGAAAAGAATATGAACTAATTGTGACTGTGTCTTTGTTCCTCACAGGACGGCATGGGCAATCTCAGAATAACAGAGAAGGGCCTGAAACTGGAAGGGGACTCTGAGTTCCTCCAACCCCTCTATGCCAAAGAAATCCAATCCAAACCAGTAAGTCTTACATAGAAAACCACTCTCACTATTTACATTTTAAACAGACACACTTTAGAGTTAAATGTCAAACTCAAAATATTTTGGGATTTTCCGTCTCCACTAGCTACGTATTTGTAGGCGGCTACGCCATCCATGCTAACAATGCTAAGCTCAATACTTTCTATGTCTTTTCTGTGAGGAAAACATCATGTGAATTATAATTATAAATTATTCCTGGAATAATCAGCATAGGCATGTAATAGTTAATTACATTAACGGGTACCATATAGCATTTCCCACATTAATGCAAACCTGCCTTGTTACCTCAATGTCAGTGTAAATTCCTTGCTGGGAAAAAAAAAAAAATGCTCATGTACCGATTAGTTATTACTGTGTTTTGTAACACTGCATGAATGACAAAACTTAATATGAGGTGAGAGGGTGCAATGGTGTTAAGTGTCTAATGAAAGTGAGAGTGACAGTGTGAATTTCAGTCCTGAAGCCTACATCTTAGGTACACAGTTGAAAAAGCAAGTGTGACAATCCTGTTGGGACTCATACTAGAAGTATCAAACTACAAGTTCTTCCACTCCAATTGCATTCACAATGTGTCCTAATGTTGCTCTTACAGAGCTTAAATTCTACTAGTGAGGCTTTTCCAGGCCACCCTAATGCAGATTCTGTGGAAGGAAAGACACTATCCTACACATTCTCACAGAGGTAGCTGAAAATCATCCATCCATTTCCTGCTACACATTTGGGTCAGGTTGTAGTGTCATCAGACCAAGCCGAGTAGCCCCAATGTACTATTCTCCACCCACTCTTCCTGGGGGATCCTAAAGCATCCGCAGGTCAGATAGGATATGTAGTCTGTCTAGTGTGCTGTGGGTCTGCCAGTGTATCTCCTATCACAAAATCTCCACAGGAAGGTGATTCTTTCAAGCAGAGAGAGCAGTAGCTGTGATCTAAGCTCTGGTCCTAGCGCCACACCTTGCCCCAAGGCCAAGATCCCTTGCCAATAAAATTAATTTTAACTACTCATGCCTGCAATTCTGTTCATAGGGTCATTACCCAAAGATTGTGACCATAAAGCTTGAATGAACAGTGACCAGTAAATCAGGAGCAAAGGCAGGGTCTTTGGAATGAACCCAGGCTGTTAGCTGAAGAGCTCAAAATCTGTTAGAGATTTTTATCTGCAAATTGCTGGAATTTTTTTGGTATTAATTATGAAATGGTGAAGCAGACTTCCAGAAGGAGTAATCTTACTTCGGTGTGACTGATTTAAGACCAGATCAGTCATGTGTTACCCATCATTTCATGTCATAACCAGACAAGTTGTGTCAAGACTTGTCATGTAATGTCTTCAAAAAAATATGACACAACATCATGACAAGCACCATATGGCCCCATCAGTGCACCTGTTTCAGACCAGGTGGTGTTGATGGGGAAACAAACGCATGCGACAACCTTGGCAGTGTTGGCAACATGCTTTCTCCAGCGTGCTGCACAGAGCCACAGCTCCAGCATCAGTTTTCTTGCAGGAAATCTTTGGCATTTACAGATTGAAATGCATAGTCTGTCTGAGGTCCCTTGGTAGCCCATGTTCTGTTTACGAAATTAACATTCTGATGTGCTTCCTGCTGTCCTTAAAACAACTACAGGAGTATTCAAGCCTAGAGATGTCAGAGAAATGGAGAGATGGGCACGATAACGTGATAGACATTCTCTCCCTCTGTCTCTTCTACTCTGGCAGTAATAATAGCTGTGTGCAGTTAGTGGATGGATGGCTTGATAATGCAAGAGAGCAGCACGCTTTATCTCTGCTGTCTAGGACCTTACGCAAGCTGAGAGGGAGGATGAGCAATGGAGATGGAGACAGGAGAGCATGGAGGAACATAAGTGAGTGAGGTAGCAAAAGAGAGCAGAGTTAGAATGGAGATGGAAATGAGGAATGGGCGAGAGAAGGATAAGAAGTAGTAATAGAGGCAGAAACAGGGAGACAGATGGAGGAGGACTGAATTAGAACGAGAAGATGGGAAGCCAGTGAGCATGTTTTGACAGGCAGCGATACGCGGGAGGCGGCCAAGTTCAACACTGACTCAAACAACCACAACATGTTCACAGTATGATATTATGGTTCGGTAAAATATTCATGTAAGAATGAAGTCCCAGTTTCACCAACTGGTATACCCGAAGCAGCTATGAATTACTGCAGATCTCTGGTGCATTCATTTGGCAGATTTGGTTGGTGCAAGACAACATATGAACATCTATCATCAACAAGATAAATATAGGCTGATAAAGCCAGGATATTTAGCACAATGTAGAAACAAATGGTGGTCCCAAACCAGTATGGAAAGTGTAAAGCATTTCTTGTTATATTTTGAAATCTAAATATTTGCCTGAACATACTCGAAGAATGGGATGGACAGTTGAAAGATATAGAATGGAGATGAATATGGAACTAAGAATAGTAAAAGAGCAAATTTGAAGTAAGAGGAAAGAAAAGATACAACACACCAGAGCAGAGGGAGAGATAAACAGAAAGAATGACAGAGAGAGGGATAGATGGGTACCTTTAGCAGAGGAGGTGAGAGGAATGTGTTGTTTAAGCCTCAGTCTTTTGACATTGTACAGTTCAAGTGAATTGAGACATTGTTATCACAATAGTGACAGAAGAGTTCAACTCACCTTAGTTAGAACATGTGCTCCATGTCCCTACCGCAGCAACCGGGGTTCGATTCCAGCCTGTGGCTCTTTGCTGAATGTTGTAAAATGGGCCTGAATATTAGACTTTCATTGGTCAAGTTGCCAGAAACATGAAACCAAATGAAAGCTAATGTTGCACTATATATTATATAACTGATAGCAGTACATGTTTTTACTTGATAAATTATTGATTAATTGATTAATCAACTAACCATCCAACACTACTCACAGCCTGATCCATCTTGACATTGTGCTACTATACTTGTGTGTTCTTCAACAAAGTCAGTCTGGGCACTAAACTGTAGATCTTCTTTGATAATACCAGGTTGAATTTCTGAAAGAGCCACTGTATTGCTCCCTAAAATTGGTTCTTTGGCTCAGCTCACTGTGGTTTAATTCAACCAGTGAGTTTTTCATAGCCTTTAGAGCAGCTCTGCCTCCAAGAAATATTTATATAACCAACTCCAATCCACGTATTTCGTCTAACTCCTCTCTCTTTTTTTCTCTGCTTATTTCTCTCTGTGTGAGAGGCATCCTGCTGGGTGTAATATGGTCTGTTGCATTAGTAACAAAGAGAGGAGGGGGAACGTGTGGATCAGAGGCACCACACAACAACAAACTGAACACATGTACTGTAGACAACCAGCCCCAAAGGACTCCTGCAGTAGCCTCTCTGAGGCATTTCAAGAGGCTATAGCAGGGAAAAAACTGTGCAGAGAGATGGAACGATAAGCTGGCTGCTATATGAAACATGGCACACTGTACTATGTGGGTGTGGTTTTTAGGCTCAAGCATTGTTCTGTGGAAAAAAAAAAAACTTTTTACACATTACTTGAGTTTATTAGAATAACATAGACTGTCAGGTTTTCCACTAGTATGGATTATAAATTAGATGGATGGCTATGAAATTTGGGTAGAGACTGATAAAGGTTGGTATAGTAAACATGGTATGTGTCCTGTTTCAGTTCAATTATAGGAATATAACATTAGTAACATTGTCAGTGAATGTTATGTATGAACATTTTGCAACCTGACAGATTCAGAATGAGAAAAAAATGTAATGCAGGTGGCAGTAAGTTTCTCTCTCAATGTTACTGTTGCAAATAAGCCATATCGGAATAGAACCACTGCTTTTTGGCATTGAAAGAAGCCAGTTGAAGTGGATGAATGAATGCACCAATGGAAGAATTAATGGACTGACTGATACTGTTCTACTCCCTGTATACTGCTTTGTTGACAGATTAGATGTATTTTTCATGTTTTCCATCTTTTGTCTGCTATTGATCTCAGCACAGCTGCAGGTCATGAGAGTTAATGAGTTAGCAGTGCAGCACACTGAGGCAAAGTGCTTTGAACTAAAGGTTGACTGTTGCAGGCAAAAGTTAACAACGGACCTTTTTCACAGCAGCCATTCTGAATTAAAATAGTAGGTCAATAATAGGTGTTACCAATTACACTAATTCATGTTTATTCCATTTAGTGTAGCAGAGCTTTCCAGTGAGCCAACATGCCAACAATAGCAGCACCCTGACTCTGTTTGACCTGAATGCAACACAACCTTATTTAGGGTCATTGGTAACACTTGTGTTTACCCTACTATTTCATGTCAAAGTGGCTGCTGCAAAAAAAGGTCTGTTGTGAGAGAAATGTGGTGAAATCTTTGGTCGTGAGTATACACATAGATAGATTCCATTTTAAGATAGCACCATTTTAAAGATAATTTAGAAAAAAACTGCAACAATATAAACATTCACCAGGTATTTATCTCATAATCTGACATCAAAATATAATCTAATCATGTATCTCGTACAGTGGGACATGCAATGCTATTAGAGAGCTGTTATTGCCTTATTTGTCTTATTTTCTTCATCAGAAGCGAAACAAAAAACACATTACAACAACATTACAAGACCATTGATACGTATGAGTAAGTATGTGTTTCTGCATGTGTGGCAGTGCGTCACTATGCTGAGGAGTTGCTGCTCACACTTATTGCCTTCAGCTGTGCTGAGCTTTTACAAAGACTCAGCTTGTCTTAGCAGACGGTCAGTTCTTCTGTGTTATTCTGTCTTGTGTTGTGTGTTCGGGCAGCTTTTCAGTCCCTGTACAGTTGCACTTGTTTTTTTGATTTCTGGTCCTAAACTACAGTTTTGTAAGGAAGTTTTAGTTGGATCCCAGTTGGGTGGCTTTTAACAACTCTGTTACCCAAGAGCACTCATAAAAGCTGGGCTTTGTGTGTTTGTGCACTGGTGTGAGACAGAGTGTGCTTGAAATAAATGTAGGCAAAACCAAAAATCTTCTCTTAGCCAGTAACATTGAACAATCACTAAGTTAAGACTACAAATTTGGAACTGTGATTGACAACCACCTAAACTTTACAGAACACATTCTACTTTTAAAAGCCTTGAAGGGATCGATCCAGTATGCCACAAGTGCACAAACACTGAGAATGGTCTTTAGAGTAGTATTAGAATATGTATATGTATATGTCATAATATGTCTGGAGGGAATTTTTAATGTTCAATGTAATAAATAAACAAATAATGTTTTGATGTTAATATAATTCAAAGTTTTGTACCTTTTAAAAGATGGAGTGTACTTGTCAACCTGACATGCTCAAACGCCTCCACAGTTAATGTTAATCTAATTATCAGTGCTGCAACTCCTTCTCATGCGTATTTCAAACTTTTTGTTAGTTTTACATTCAGTTCACGGCACATTGTTATTGTAATAACTTCTTGCTTGCATATCATACATTTGGTGTATTTACTGTGAGAACTTCAATAAGTTTGGCAAGAGCCATAATGTTATCTGTAATATACACACAGGGCATATCCCCTCCGCGGCTGCGAGCGCAGCACAATGGTCAGGCCGTTATCTCTAATTAAGAAGTTGACTGAGGCATGAAGATTAGTCGGGCACAGAAAGAGCAGAGTGTCCGACGTGATCAGCATTACAGAGGTACAGGGCACTCTGGGAAATGGAAGTTATCAAACAGAGCAGGAGGTTACAGTCGCTGCACTCGGACAGTTCTGCTGTGACTTTTTACGTGTGAAGTTATACACTTCTTGTTCCTTTGTGTGTGCATATGCACCTTTTGTTTAGTATTACAGTTGGCTCAGCTTATATACGGCCAGCCCCAAAGTCACCACAGGTGTGTGCCAGTCAGGTGATCATAATATAAAGAAAACCAAGACCAAACCACAGTTCTGCTCTGTAAGCCTATACATACACAGCAGTGCTTTGAGCATGATAATGACAACATGATCTCAACGACAATGCTAACATTCTGATGTTAAGCAAGTATAATGTTTACCATGGTCATTGTCTTTGTTTAGCATGTTTACATTTACTTACATTTACTAATTTACGCAGAGTACAGCGAGGGTTATTGGGAATATGATTAGTTTTGCAGGGATTTGGTTGGTATTGCACCACAGACTAAATAATTACCTTGTTTCTTCGCAGGGCCGCCCGCTGTTCCTGCAGTCATCCAGAAACGTGTCGGTCAATATCGTCAACAGCAACAACCAGCTGCTCACACAACTCGTAACCGGTAAGACACTGCAGGAGAGACACAAACTGCTTTCATGTAGTCTATTGATGTTTTCTTTTGATATGATACATGTTTTCATTCAAAAACATCAAAACTGAGAAAACTGACGACATCAGCTGCAACAAATGCACAACATATAGAATTTGTATATGTTTCACTGCGCAAGAAAGATTCTTTTTTTTTTTTTTTGCCTGAAAACAAGTTCTGCCTGTCATGCTTTTTTTAATGCTTTTTTGCTTTTATGTATGATGAGCCTTTGAACGGTTTGATTGTTTCATTTGAGAATGACTATGAAGTAATTCAATTAACACAAGATTAGGGGAAAGTCAGGGAAAAGAACTATTTTTCTGTAGCAGATCTGTTATTTCCTTTCATTTTGCAATTTTAGATTTATCTTAGGGACCCTTTGGGGAGTCGATACTCTCAGGTTAGGAACCAGAGCTTTAACTGTCAGGAGCCATTGCTTCATTTCCAGAATTAAACATTTGCACATCATAAATTCTTCCTCTGTTCCTCTTAACAGTGCCAGCAGAGGCCTTAGTTGCTGCACCATAACTCTGTGATCGTACTTTCTTCTTTACATTCGCCCATTCTCCGCCTGTCACACTCTAATAGAGTTGGCAGTCTTCTGTGAATGGAAATCACTTTGTGTAAACATGCACAGGAAGTGTCTCTCACGTTTAAAAAGTGCACTGACATTTGCCTTCTGGGTCTGAAGAGGAGGAAGGCGAAGTCTTCTCGGATGTTTCTCTTGGATGACTAAGCGGCGTTCGTGTATGGGGAGGAACTTCACATCCCAGATGGAGAGTGACAGAATCAATTGCGCGCGTGTCAATCAGTCACCCCCAACGCCAAGTGTTTTCTGCCGCCACATGAGACAAAGCAATTTGAGTTGTCTACATTTTTATTTCTTGTTTGTCATGACACCATTCACACTTTTGGAAGCTTGAGTCTGAGTATTTTCTCAAGTTTCTAGCAGACCTTCAGTGATATGTGTTTTTTACACTTATGTCGTGGTGGAAACCTCGGGCACCAACAGGTCAGATCTGGAGTAAATTGTTTCTAAAAATTTCATCGCAAACCATTTAAAGTTTTTGCTTCTTTACTCTATACCTTTTGATGTTTTTGTCGATTGGGCTTTTCAGAAGTATTGACTGCCATCAGCTTTTAATTATTAAAGTTAAAATTATTGCACAAAACGTTCGCTGTGCTGCCGTTTTTCAAAGCAGGATGCCATTTTGTCAGAGATAAATCTGCACATCCTGCTTTAAACACACTGTACTTTACATTATGAACTAGTTGCAAAAATAAGTGTCTTTAGTAATATTTACTTTGAAACATGTTCAGTTCATTGTATTACCACACAATGCTATCATAAAAGGACCAGACACTTGGGCCTTGAAGTTGTTTTTTTTATAAGGAAATATCATGGTCAGTAATGTATACCAACTAGTTAAGCAGTAACAAGAATATTTCAATAATTTCAAGGAATACACCATCTAAAAACTGAAACAACCACCCAAACTTTGCTTTGCATGTGTTGCTAATGTAGCTAGCTGTTAAAATGTGGTTGCATGAGATGAGCTGCACACTATGCCAGCAAAGTAAAAGTGTGCCATTTATTGGCAAACATATTGGTAATAGTAGCTGACTAACTGAGGTGCGGATTGGCTCATATCTTTAAAGCTATACATATTTGCAGAGGCTGGCCTCTGTGGGTTTACAGCTGCACTAATCAGTATTTTATTTTATTAACAAGGGGTCAGAAGTGTATGCATAATGTGACTTTGGCTGTAATGACACTTTTGTCTTAATATTAGGCAGTGTTGCCAAAATTCATAAACAATATGATGGGGTTTGGTTCCAAAGATTACTATTCTTTTGCTCAAGTCAGCCAGTCCTGCAGGACACATTGAATGTCTTCCACTTTGCATTTAAAATGTTCAAATACGGAGGTAATTCAGTAAGAAATCTGCTCCAGTCGCTCCTCTTTGATGTCTCTTCTCATTCTGTGTGTTCGGTTTAGGATCCAATGGATTTAAAGCACGAGGCAAGATGTTTGAAGTCAAATCCACGACTGGGAAGCTCCTCTTTTCCGCCGACGAGCAGGAGGTGGTGGTGGGCGCTGAGAGGCTCCGAGTGATGGGTGAGTCACCAGCTGACCTGAATGGAAACTGACCAGTTGTCAGGATCCGAAGTTGCATTTGGGTACTAATGTTGGTGGTGTCATAAAAGAAGACATTTTGTTTTTACTGACTGATTTTAAGATATAAAAATTAAAGCTTGGTGAAGAGAGTGATGGGGGAGAGCTCATATTTTCCAACAGTACTTGGGGGGGGTGGAATGTAGTCCTTACACAAATGAGTTTTGCGCTCATGACATGAAATAAGAAGTGACAGAGCTGTTCTGACTGCAGCGGCTAGTCAGCCTCTCAGTTGCCACTGCGACAGATGATTTCCTGTGAGAGCGGAGGGGTGTAGCTGAGGAGAGTGAAGGGAAAATTAGATCACTGTGAAAACATGAATACAAACATAAACAAGGCATCTGCATACAATGAAAGCAGCAAGAGTGAAGATCATCTTGTTGATTCACAGCAAAATCTGATGGGAAGTGACTGATTTAAGCTTTGTTGACATGCTTTTTCTTTCTGTCAGAAAACTGCAATTCTTTACATCATATTTTTGACTTGAGAAGCCTATATCCGAACATGCTTGGTTTACAACGTGAGAATACTTTTGTGTGATCTCTTTTTAAAGAAGTTGGCTTTCTTCCATCAAGATATCAGCGTTTTGTTACCACTAAAATTTAACAAGTTGTGAATACAGCATTAGTGGGTTGTTCCCAAGGGCTCTTGTTTGTCCACTGTGTTCCTGTAAGGATGGATGGAATTGTCTATAAAGAAAACTGTAGCTCAAGTAAAGCGTGCTGAGAATCTCTCTAAAAAGTAGTTTCACTTCTAAAAGACAAAAAGAGGCCCGTGGATAAAGGTTGCCCCTCAGCACACAGTTGATCACAGCTGCCGTTTAGGATAATTGATTACCTTATTTTAATATTTAGCATTCTGTGTATGTGGCAGCATACATTGACTTACTAAGACACTTGATCTTTACGACTTCAAAGCAGCCGCCAGAGCATCAGAGTAACAGGCTATCGACACATTTGTGCTAAATTAATTCAGGAAAATAACTCTAACTCTAACTCTAACTTTCTGAGCACATTCTGAGCATCCTATATCTGTGTGGGTGTGTGCGCACCGTCTGACAGTCCTTAAGTCAGAAATTTGTGATTACTCATTTATCCAACACTGTCCGACAGTATTATATACATTCTGTATCATCACGCCCTGGCTCTTCATTGAAGCTATATGATGTTTACACTGAGCAAATATTCAAAACACTCTATCAAATACAAATATTCGAGATATTTTGTGCATCATTTTGTAAATCCTTTTACACACTTTTCCACAAAACTTCAGCTTAGTATCTTTTGTATCTTCTTTATTGGATCTCCAATAGAATTTGAAATAAAATTCTGTAGGTTTGAACAAGGTTTTTCTGTACAGCATGAAAAAATTGTGCTGAGTTAATATGTCATGAGGTCAGAAATGGTTTAGGTAGCAGCCTTCACTGACGAGATGTTCCTCTAATGTTGATGCAGAATTTCCAGGTTCTGAGCTCTGGAACTTACATTTATCATGTAAATAATTGCTTGAGCCAATTCAGCCAGTAGAATAGTTGTGAGTATGTATGTATGTATGTAAGTATGGTCGCAGCAAGGGGTCGCGGCTACAGTAAAACAGTTATACTGAACAGAAATAAATGGTAATAATGATACCATGGAAAATGAACTTGAAATATGTTTCTGTTCTTCAACACTTTGGGCTTCCAAACATGCGAAATACTATAAAAGACTTTTTTTTTCCAGACTTAGAAAAAAATGATCTGCATTAATTAGGTTTAAAGAAATCAGCTGACCATGCTGCACAAGGGCAGATTTAATCATCACTTATTTCTTACATTTTGTACACTCGCTCATACAAGATAATAAGGAGGGAACTAAAATAACTTGCAGTGAACTAGTTAAGATATCAAAAATTATGGAATCTGCTAGATATTAAGCAGCAGCCAACTAACACACACACACACATTTTTTGAAGTTGTGATGTCTTTGATTCAATTCAGCTCTTTTTCTGGTTGATTTTCTCATATCCTTTTTCTTCATTCCCTCTTTAATTCTTTATTTCTTCAATATCTTCATTTCCTCCCTCCTACTTAAAAAACATATTTTCTTTCTCCTGTTCCTGTTTCCTCTGTAACATCATTCACCATTATACTTCCATCTGCCATCATTCACCATCACTCATCCATCCACCCACCCGTTCATCAATCCATCCATTCACTCTCATTAATAGATAAACAGATATTTGAAGTCTCTCCCTCTTGACTGGGCCACACATTTCCACTTAAGAGCTCCCATGGGTGTGCTATCTCTCTCTCTCTCTCTCTCTCTCTCTCTCTCTCTCTCTCTCTCTCTCTCTCGACTTTTTATCTCACTGTCTCTCTCTCTGACACACACCTTTCAGAGCCTTCTGTGTGAGCAATTACTCTTCATCCTCATCTACATTCATTTACATCCTTTCCAGCCTCACTGAGTCAGAGTTCATTACTGTCACCCACCTCAGCAAAGTGCTCCTCTTAACAGAGAAAGACACAGACGGAGGGCGGTGATGGAGGGCGGTGAGGGACTAGTAAGGACATGTAGCGTTGTGAGTTGTTTAATAGAAGGGAGTTGTTGTTTCATGCAGTATTTATTTCAAAGTCAAAACTATTCAAATATTCTCCTGTCGCTGCCTATTTAAACTCAGCGTCAAACTTTAATATCCACAAGTCCTGACATCAGTAAACAGAACAACTTATGTTTACCCAATCCACTGATGTGATTGCTTTTGCGTGACATCCACATTGTTGGTCGCGTTTGATTTCTAACTTGAAACTGGAAAAATATCTGGAACAAACTTCCAAAAGTTCCAAAAAAGAAAAAGAAAAAGAAAAGGAAGTCTTCGCAGACAAAGATCAGGGGAGGGCAACTTTAAAGAAAACCAACAGGACTAAACAAGTAGCAGACAAACATTATTTTTATTATTACTAACTATTCTCTGAGTCTTACTAAGAGGGGGTTTCAGGTTTGTCCTGAGAGTGACACTAGACTAAAGCTCAAAAAAGTTCATCATCTGGGGAGCAGTTGTTAATTAGATCCTTACTTTCATGGGGGGCATATAAAACCTTATAAGTAATGGGGTTTAGGCTCTAAAGTTTATCCTGATTGGGGTGCTAATGGAAAAGTCTGGCTGTAACCAAAATCATTGTGATTCATGCTCTGGGGGTCATGAATGTGCACAGCAAATTTAATGGAAATCTTGGCAGTAGTTTTTGACATCATTTGTGAGACAAAGTGTTTAAGGGAATATTTTGATCGGACATTAGGGCTTGAAAAAAAGTCAGGGGGTTATCAAAATCATGATGCCTCATTCTCTGGGAATCACAAACATCCACCAAATTTTAACCTGGCCTGTAGTTGAGATATCTTGCTCTGGACTATATATTGCTGTCTTAAATCAAAATGATTTTGGACAATAAAACGCTGCAGCTGGTGAGCTGATACATGCACACTTGCCAAGGAAGTGCATACCTGAGATTTAAAGTTTTTTATTGACCTTTGAAACAGCCATTAACACAAAGGGCTCACCACAAGGTCTGTGTTGTCATATGATCCATCCATTTGACTCCACTGCAATCCACGAGCCAATCATATAAATTGTGCATACAAGTTGTGCCCTCTGGAGACACAAATGACGGAACCAGAAAGAAAAAGCAACAAAGAAAAATTAGCAATGAAGTCAGTCTTTCAGAGCACTTCAGTCAGTTGTGGTGACAACACTAAAAAGCAACTGGGAGCAGGTGTACGGAGAGAGTCACAGCAGAAACACAGAGGGAGAAAGGGCCAATGATTTGCCAATTACTCCATTTATCTCCACAGCCGTTTGATTAGGCCGCTCAGGGCTACGAGGCTAATCAAACACCTTGGCAACCGCTGCCTCAGCAGACAGCCACGGCCCCTTGAGTTCCCAACATGCTTCGTTTATACTAAAAGTTTTTGTTGTGGCACCTGAGTGTGTATTCATGCCATAAAAATTATTATTTTTTATGCATGTGTCTTCTCATTTCTGAAAAGCTGCTGCAAGTCTTCATTTGCAGATATTCAATACAGATGCCAGTAAAATAACAGAAAATTCACCCACAAATACTTTTTTTTTATATTTAACCAAATAAGCTCTTTCATTTTGTCTTCCTATCCAATCCAATCCAACTTTATTTGTTAAGCACTTTAAAACAACCAAAGTTGACCACACAATAATTTAGAAAGGCAAGTACATGCTTTTATAAAAGTCTAGACATGAGCAAAACTGTGAATCAGGAAGCATTTAATCAAAAGATATGTCAAAAAAATAAATAATCTTGCAAAACATTTAGTGACAGTTCTAATCACTTCACATTTCCATATTCAGATGTTACAGAAATGTTTTGGTCATTGTTGAGGTTTGATATCCAGCCCTCATACAGGACAGCCAAAAGTGGCAGTTCCTCAAAAGGCCACTTGACGCCGGCTCCAAAAGCGAGTTAATCTTCATAAACCCCTATGTCAAAATGCCCAACTTTACAGAAGAAATAAACATGTTTACAGCCTGGTTAAAGAAAAAAAAAAAAATTTCCCTTGTTTGTGCTTCTTTCATTAAAGTTACATTCATTTTAAATTCAAGGTTTTAAAACGCACACTAGGTTTTAAATAAAATGTACACAGATTAAGATATATATGTATATATATATATACCTTAAATGTAGACAAATTGATCTATACAAAGAGCAAATCAGTAGTAGAGGCTGCATTCATTCAAATAAATCATATATGTACGTTATATTGTAGATTATAAACTATCACAATATGAAAAAATATATACAGTGCTTTATCAACATTATCACTCACATTAGTGAATATTATTATAAATGATAATAATAATAATATGAATATTATTTCTGCGTGAAGTTATATGCTGTCGGCATTATACATTTTTCAAACAAGTGATCCCTC